GGTCACATGTTCTACTAGTACAAAGAATTATGGCTTAAGCAAATTTTTTCTCTCGCCAAATAGAATTATTTCTTTCTTTTTTTTGAAGTTATAAATGAAGCATGATCAAGGAGATTCAAAATTATTCGTCAAATAGTCCACAAAATCTCAGATCGCACAATAAGTAAAAAATAAAAGTGAAAAAAAAAATAGAATGGAGAAAAATGAAATTCAAAAAATATATAAAAATGAACGAAAAAAATAACAGTCCAATTATTTTGAATAATCAGTGATTATATTAACCTCAGAGCGTATTTTTGTTTTCTAAAATTTATATCAACTTTTTTAAAACTTTACTTACTCTTTGAAAGAAAATTTGAATATTTTTATGAACTAAAATTTTATTTTTTTATATATTAACTAACATGCAATTCACGACTTTTAAACTATAATTGGATCAAACAACCTATAACCATTTTTTTTATCTTTCATTTTGAAAAAATATTAATTTAATTAGATAGAATTAGAAGTCTTAAAAATCTATTTTTTTCGGCCCTACCCCATGCGAGGTCTGATGACAATTTTCATATATTTAGGCCCGAATCCCCAAATTTTTTAATATATGAAAAAAATATACAACTCAAAATACGTATTTTATTCTCCATTTTAATGTTATGCTTCCAATTTTAAATATCCAGAAATAACCTTGATAATTTGATGATGTGTATTATATATTATATTTATTCCAAAATATTATATAAACATGAATTATAACATATTTCCATTACATCTAATTTTTTTTTTTAAAACGTTTCTTATTTTTTTTTTCATTTTTATAATTAATTTGTGATATACAAGTATAACTCAAGCAAAAAAAGGGGGAATATGAAAGAAGAAATATCCAATATTTTATCAAGCTACGGGAGGGCCTGTTTGACTCTTTATAGAGCAATAAGATTTATCTATCAATAATAGTTGTCTGTAAAACCTGCCAAAAAAGGAGCGGACAAAATTTCATAACTTTTTGAGTAGCTTTAGGCCCCTTATTTAAGTTTTTTACATAGGAATGGCTTTCATGAAACCTACAACCCACCCGAATTAAAATGTTTTAATCAGGAGTTCGAAAGACCTGAAATATTTTTAAAAAAATTTACAACCCCTATTATATAAAATTTACTGGCAAATGGCGGGAAAATTTCAATTTCCTCCCTAGAAATTTCCCCATAATTTTTAGAATAATATTTCAATTTGTGGTACAAGTTTTTAGAAGACGTCTAGTAAATTTGTAGTAATATACCTCGTGATTTATAACGAATTTTTAGATACTTATTTTCGAATATCGATTTAAGGACTAATATTAATTATACTTTGCAGATATTAATATATTAAAAATAAGTCCAACTTGTTACTGAAGAGCTATTAGAAAAATAAATATCCGTTTTAAAAGGTGACACTTATAGGTCTTGATTTTTTTGCTCACTAATTTAGGATAAATATTTCTTGGGGACTAGAAAAATCGTTTTCTTTATTTTTATAATAGATCTCCTTATTAGAAGCGCACTCGGCACTTTTCTTAAGATGTGGTAGTCATGAAAATGATTAAAAAGAGAAATAAATTATTATGCAGCTATAGATCCACGATTTTGTCGTGTGAATTTAACAGATTCCGAAGTTAGTAAAGGATTGGAATTTATAAAAATTTAATTGCAGAAAAGATAAATTTAAATATTGGACAAAATTGACTTATTTGGGCACAATATCACTTTAAAAAATTTTTTGAAGTGGAATGGGTATTTGGGATAATGTATAAATTACAAATTGTTAGAGGTATTGGTGAAATCTTTTTTTGTTCCAAACCCAGAGGTAAAAAAAAAGATTATCCCCAGGTACTGGCAATTAAAACCGCCAGACATCCTATATTCATAAAAATGAATGATTTGGCTGTTCCGATAAATTGATACATTCCAATCATAATATAAAAATATATCTTTCTGCATAATCACCTTTTTGTCAGAGGCTGACAGAAATATACATTTCTATGCTCGATTTGGGCCGAGCCCCCTTTGAACCAAATGTAATTAAGAAATCAATATTTTTTTATGAAAAAAAACGAATTATGCAATTAATTTAATTTTTTATTTCTACAATAATTAAAAAAGTTTTACGGATATTGTTATTATTAAATAAAATTTCCATTATTCCTCCCCGTAAAATTAGAATTTCGCAGATAAAGCATTTTGCAAAATTATCCTCCCCCTTTGAACCAAATGTAATTAAGAAATCAATATTTTTTTATGAAAAAAAACGAATTATGCAATTAATTTAATTTTTTATTTCTACAATAATTAAAAAAGTTTTACGGATATTGTTATTATTAAATAAAATTTCCATTATTCCTCCCCGTAAAATTAGAATTTCGCAGATAAAGCATTTTGCAAAATTATCCTTGTCTTTTGTAAAATATCCATAATTCAGTCAGATACCATATTTAAAAAAATTCTTTTATTTAAAATATAAATAATAAAATTGGCGTTATTATTTAAAAAGATTTAAAATAAATAATTGGGTGTTCCTTTCTATTTTAAAAAAAAAACTTTTAAAATACTATACATCTATTTTTTTTAAAAAAAATTAAGTGTGTTGTGCATTTGCTTTGTTTTAAAAACAATTATTTAGAAAATATTATGAATGTAAAATAAATATACATAAAATAACAAAAAAAGAAAAGTAAAAAGATCCAATCGGTTTTTTTACAGGTATCAGCCCGATTTGATATTTTTGGAAAACGCGAGATATCGGTGCCGATCCGATATTTAATATCGGCACAGCATTAGTTAAATGGATAATTGAAAATGCGTGAGGTGAGAAAGGCGGGGTGGAGGGAGAGGGTGGATAGAAGGAAGTCTGGTTTTGCTAATTTTGATTTGGTAGAGGTTATGTCATTATTGGCTTAGCAGGGTGTAGAAGTGCCTGAGCGAATGAATGTTTAAATGATGTGATTTTCAATTAATTGATTGTTATAATTAGTTATTTAAAATTCTGCCTGGCCTATTTTTAAAATTATACTTTGTTATGTTTTGGTACTGGTTCTGTTTTCTGCTTTGTATTAATTTTTAATGTAAACACTTTTTTTTATATTTAAAATAAAACATTGTGTAATCTTTCTATAGAGTAAGGAAGAAGGAAATGTTCAAATATATATTTTTCATAACAGGGTTAATTTGTCAAAATAAATAAATATTAGAAATGGGAATAAAATTATCATAAATGAATAATTATCGATAATTTTAAAATAATACTCATCCTCTATTTGGTTGTAATTGATAAAGGGAAACTTTTTGGTAAAGTGATCTACTATGCTACCTATTAACTACATCATTTATAAAAAAATGTGTATTTGCTCAAAATCAGATTTGGAATTAAAAAATTTTCAAAGATTTTGATCTCTGAAGACTTTTTTAAATGAAGATTTATTTGAGAATGCTCAAACAAGTTCTTTGATCAAATTTTGTCTTAAAATTCCAAAAAAAAATTGTAAACAAATCTTTTGTGATATATATATATAAATTCTTTCATTATGAAATCACAATTCTTTTAAAAAAATGATTTTGATCTTTTAAAAAATGTTTAATTTTGTTAATTTCAAATATTTTTTACTCAATATTGTGGGCAAAAAGATCTTTGAAGAATATTTTTCAAACTGCTCAAAATTGTCTCTTTAAATTACGATCGAAGAGAATAGTGATGTTATTTGTATTCGATTCAAATTTTCGAATCAAATGCTAGTATTCGAATGGGATAATTTCTCGATCGTACAAGTAAGGAACTTATTCGATTCAATCGTCGAAATTCGAAAATGAAATTTTTAATAATAGTTGCAAAAGTGAAAAATGGAATTAAAAAGAAATGATTATTAAATATGTAAATGAAGTTAAGAATTACAAATATTTAGTACTATAAACGTTACTTCAAAAAAGAAACGCGTTAATCTACTTTTGAAAAAGGGAGCGCGTTATTCGTTATTCAAAAAAGTAACGTACTCATTACTTAAAAAAAATATTTTATATCCTTTTTATTTTTTTCCCTAGATAATAAAAAATAAAAATATTTATTTATCAGATAAATTTTATAATCATTTTTAATTTATTTTTAACAATTGATTTTCAAAATTTTGATCAGATAAATAAGAGTACTTATTGCTGCACACAACTTTCGCTCTGCGTTCAACTAGCATAGAGGATGGCAGCGTTATAATTTAATAAATAAAAATTTAAATTGAGGAATTTATTATTATTAAGAATATTTAAAAAAACTTATCATATTCACAAGAATCTTCAATCCTCATCAATTTTTTTTATCCTTACTAGAATATAATCTGAATTTATATTTTTGACCTCATATGATAAATTTGAGTAGCTGGACATCGAGGTTGAATTATAATTTACGGCCTATACTTAATAAGTGTAGAATTAGTGCCCTTAATAATCTTTATGGTGTTACTGGAGAGTCATTTAATCATCTTCATCCCAAGAAGTAAGTATTGTTGACATATTCTTTATAAAATAAATAATATTAAAGAATATAAATTGGCATACCTTGATTGATTCAATATTAAGTAGATTAGCAATCCTGACTATAAAATTTAGTAACAAAAAATGTATAAATAAGATAAAAATGCACTTTGAGTTGATTTGAATTAAAAACTCAGCTTAAATTATTTATAAAATTTAAACAATTAATAATTTCCCATATTTTTTAAGAATAAATTTAAAATAACGTTTTGTGTTAAATAACGAATGGCGTTCCTTTTCCTCAAAAAGAGTAACGCCTTCAGTAACGATGTTAACTTCGTCGATGTTACTTTACAACACTTCAAATATATAAGAATAATTTCTAATATTTACAAATATAATTTTAAATAATAGTAATACGAATGATAAAAATTCTATCATTCGACAAATAAATTTTTTTATTATTCATAATTCGAATTGAATAATTATTCGTATTTATTTTTATTATAGAGCAAAAACCCTAATGTTTCCAAATATTACACTAACCGGGCTTTAACCCATCTCAGGCTAAAAAAATTGGAGAGTTGCGTGCAAGACAGTGGAAGAGCCCTGGAGTTGGACCCCAAATGCATTAAAGCTCACTTTTTTTGCGGACAAGCTTTGTTAGATCTTGGAAACTTCAACGAAGCTATCATCAGCTTACAGAAAGGTTAATAATATTATACTCTATAACCTGGTGATATCAGTTAGTCTAGAACACCATTTTCAAGCTTCACGATATACTTTAAGACTTTAATATTGTGATATTTTCTCAAAAATTTAATGATATAAGAAATAACTTCTGGCTATAAATGACGAGATTCATAAATTTTTTTACTTGAGAATGAAATCGATATTTATTGATTCACAGTCCGATTTGGTCTAAATTTTACATTCTTCCTGGTTATTCATCCTATCAATTTTAACCAAATTTTTAATATTTGATTTAAATTACTTTGAAATAAATATTCCAAACTTTTTCAGTAAGAAATCATATTTTATAGTCCTGAAAAAATCCCATTTTCAGGCCTAGCAACACATTGAATTTTTTTACCAAAATTTTTGAACCAGGCCTATTCTGGATTTTTTTTTATTTTAATGCCAATTCCTACTATTTTTCAATTTTAGTCATTTTAGGTATAAATTCATTTATAAAAAATCAAAGGGGAATTGGAATCTCAGCCGGTCAATAGATATATAAATTTATTTTAGAAAATTCGACCCGCCTCTTTTAAACTCAGCCAATTTTCAAAATTGTGCCAATTTATTTGGCTTTGATATAAGTTTTTAGATATCTGATATTTCAAATAGTTACCTAATTAAGACCATTTTTTTTAAAAATTGGGGATCTTGCTCTGATATTTATTTTCAAATAGTTACCTAATTAAGAATGCATTCCATTTTTTTAAAAAATTGGGGATCTTGCTAATTGGGAAGATTTCCTACGCCTACGCTTAAATCGATTTAAAAGATACTGATTATTTTAACGTGTATTTTTTAACTCCTCGTGATCTGACAACTTTTTTTTACTAGGCTTTATCTTTTTGCATGCTCCAACTTTTTTTTTAATTAATAAATGAATTATGGATATAGTAAAAAAAAATAGACTTTCTTCCCGTAATAAATATGCACATTTAATCATTTTATTTAGAAAATATAATTTTTGGGATTTAATAAACATTTTTTATTTAAAGCGGGATGTTCCCCAACTGACTTATTAATTAGGACTTCACTTCATTAAGTATCTATCCTAATAATTGTTCAATATTTACATCTAATATATCCTTTATATACGTTCAAATTTACCTTCCTCTATTCTTCCTATTCTTAACTTATATATTCACATCACACATACCTTTCACCAATTCACTAGTTTATGTTTAAAATTGAAAATTATAAGTGAATAGTTCTAAGTATACGAGAAAGTTTTAAGAGTTTTAGAGTAGACCAATACATTTATTTAAAATAGAGAAAAATTCTTATTTAATGATCTAAATTTTTAATATTTTTTTAAATAAAATTTTAGCATTTAATCTTTCGCAAGAGCTTAACGTTAATTTTGGAGACGATATAGCCCAAACGCTTAGAATCGCCAAGGGCAAAAAATGGAACGAATTGGAAGCTGAACGCGTCAAGAATGAGGGAGAACTCGAAAAATTGCTTAAACGTTTACTTGCCCAGGATAAAGAGAAGTTAACCATCTTATATAATATATGACTATATATTACGAAAAAACCTTATAAGGAAAGATCGGGTTGGGTGACAGATGTTTTGCTTTTTTTGTTACAGAATTTTTGTTTTTATTTATGGGCTTTAAATAATATATATTGTAAATAAATAAATAACTGAGCTCTTGATCATATTATAGTCGCTTTCGCTGGCTGAAATTTTGTTATAATTAATATTTTTACTACTATGCATATGCTCATGCCCGGGACAGATTGACAATAGGTTCAGGGTAAAACAAAGAAGTAAGCTCGTGTAAGTTACATATTAATAAATAGGTGATGGGGTTTAAGTAGTTGTCATACAAAATGGGGATATATAACATTTTATTGTGATGATTGATTTAGATAATAATAATTATTATTATATCTGTTTAAGAACGTGCTAGTCATTATATGTTGTTATTATTTTATAGTTACGTATAATTTTGGGATAACATAAATAACTAACACCTACATGAGATAGAAATCTTGAACCATATTTTGACATAAAACATCTATCATGTTGATAATTTTTCTAAAAGCAAAAAAAATGCTTAAAAAAAATTATAGCGAAAATTGGTTTTGATCAACATCAACCTAAAAATAAATTAACAATTAAAATACATTTTATATTAAATTTATATATTTAGCGATTCTAAGGATTAAAAAGTTATAAGCGTTTTTCTTCCACCGGTTCATCTCACCGTGATATCTCCTACCACATAGAAAGAAAGAAATTTAAATATTTGATTGTTTTAATATTGATTAATTTTTTTTCTTTTGTCCTTAATTTATAATAACTTAAATTTGAAAAAATACCAATAATTATGCATCTATTGCCTATTTTATTTTATATTCTATGAATATTTTGTTCAGGCATGTTATGAAGATGGAGTGAATATTATAGCCTACCGCCAAATATTTACCTATATTTTTTTCTTTCATTCTTATATCATTTTTCTTTCTACAACTTTCTTAGAGTTATACATATTAAGTTTTAATTTATTTTTAAGGGAAATCGAAAAAATTAAAAGCAAGTATTTACACTCTGACGTCAAAGACAAATTGGAGCACAATATAATCGATATTCAAAACACATATGTGAGATTGATACTTGAAAACATTTTTTTAAAATTAACTATTATTGAATCATTTTAAAGGATCAAAGGAAAATAAAACAACGCTAGTGATGAGTGGGCCGCCAATATAGGCATATTTAATAGTACGATTTGACTAACACTAAATCATAATTTAATTGGTCGAAAAATAGACACAATGATGATATAATTAGTGTTGTTAAAGTAACTATGTATATTTTTTAAAATACGATGATTTCTAAATTCAGTGGCACCTACAACGGGGGGGGGGTCCGAAGCAACTGCTTCAGTAAATTTAAGTGGGGATACTTCTTTTTTTTAAATTTTATTTATTATTTAATTCTTTTACTGTTTTGTTACATCCATCATGATCAAGTGATTTCTGGTTTATAAATGTAATAATAACCCCCCCCCCCCCCAACTTAATATTTAATTTAATATATATTGACGGAAATTTTTCTACTTATTTTTTTAAGCATAATATGAATAGATAGTAGTATTCATATTTTAATTTAAATATCTTATCTTCCCTCCCTCCCTTTTCTTATGAATCAAATGATCCCATCAATATTGTTGGAAAAAGAATTGACATATTTATAATTGATAAATATCTAGAATTAGGAGCTCTTCAACCTACACATTATTTATTCCCCAAAGATAATATTAATAATAACAGATCCTTTAATAAAAGCTTTTATGAAAAAACTAATATTGACAATAGCAAAATTGCTAGAAATTGGATTACTTATAGTATTAAAATGAATAAAGTTTTTTGCTTATATTATTTTGCATGAATCTTCAAATAAAAATTCGATATTAAAATTTATAACACCCCAGAAAGAATGTGTAGATAACAACGTTCTATCATAAGAATTATAATAAGATGTTTAGATTATTTAATATCTCGTAACCAAGCCTTTTGGGGGAACAGGCAACAAGAAGACAATGTGATGGCCCTTATTAAGCTTATTGCAGATTCTGAACCTGTACTAAAAATGTATATACAAAAAAATGAAGAAAGTAAAAGGGATAAAAAAAATAAGGGATTAAAAAAAATTATATTCAAATCTATTATCATATAATAACATAAATATTCTCATTGAAACCATAAAAAATATGGTTATAAAAAAATTCAAAATGAGATTACATTTAAAGGGTGCTTTTCAATCATAGTTGATGGCACATATGATGTTTCGAAATCAGAAGCAATAGCTTTGATAGTAAGATATGTTGAAAATAGTGAGAGCCGAAGCCTGTTGAAAGACTGATTGACATATATTGTACGGGAAATACCACAGGTATCGATATTAAGCATAATATAATATCCAAACTTGGCTCGATGAATTTACCCCTTGAATTTCTAGTTGGGCAAAGTTATGATGGCGCCTCAAACATGAGTTGAAGAATCAATGGTGTGCAGGCCTTGATTAGAGCAGATGCGCCAAAGGCAGCTTTTATTTGGTGTTATTGTCGTCGATTAAATTTAATCACTGTTCAATTATGCCAATCAATTAAAGAACTTCGAAATGTTCTAGGAATACTAGATGAGATTTATATCTATTTTAATGGTGTAAAAAGATATGAGGTACTCAAAAAAAGTCAGTGTAATGATCTGAAAAAATTGCAACGATTTCTACGCATCAAGAATACCACTCGGTAATAGTACCTTGTTTATTTAGATTTAAAATGTTTTTTTATTTAGAAGCTGGCTATCGTCATATAAAGCTATTGTAATTTTTTTTCTACTTTATGATGCCTTGAGGGCAGCTTTAACAAATTTAAAGGATTCTGAAGATCTTGCCACTTCCATTATGGCTAGTGCTATAGTCTTAAGAATAGAAAAATTTGATTTTATCTTATCACTTTGTGTTTTGGATAAAATATTGTTGATAACAAGTTTGGCTTGTACAAAATAGCAAACCATTTCGGAGGATTTAGGGTTTGCAATAAATCAAATTCAATTGGCAAAAGATTGCTTGATTAATTTGAGAAGTATAATATAAATTATTGTCTTAATTATTTTTTAATCTAATAGATAATAACACTGAATTTTTGGATGTTTTTTCAAAGGCACAAGATTTTATGAGGAGAGAAATCTACCTTTTGATTTTGAAAGTTCTAGACTTCAAACATTACAATCCAAAAAGGAGAGGTATATATACTTTCATCATTAAATATAGAAATTTTTTATGCTACACTTCCTACAACCTCATGTACTGCCGAAAGAGTCATGATTAAAATTAAATTAATTAAAACAAAACTTCTTAGTACCATGAAAGATTCATTTCTCAATAATTTAATCATATTATCAATGGAAAAAAATTTATTTAAACAATTAAATATTGATGAAATTATAAATTCTTTCGCTTTCTATTCCCCTAATTTATCTAAATTATTAATTTAAAAATAATATTTATAAAGTATATATTTTTTGCATTTTATTTATATTATATATTAAAAATTGATGCAATAAAAATTTTTTTTTAAATTTATGTGTATCATAAAATAATTATCATTTTTTCAAGGAGGGGGGTACTTTTCAGGGGGGTATTCTGCTTCATTCGCACAGAAAGTGTAGGAGCCACTGCTCAAATTTAAAATTACTGTTTATTAAATAAAACCCATATACATTAAGCGTCCTTACGTTTTTTTAGATTTGTGAAGCTTATTTTTGGAGAAAGTTTAGCGCGCCCTTTTTTAGACATTAATTTTGAAAATAGTTTATCGTTGAAATCGAATAAAAATTTATTAAACCAAATTTTGGAAAAATAAAATTCTGTTATTTATACATTTTTTTTCCCTTTAGATTAATTTTATTAAAGATTTTAATTCACGAAATTATCGTATAAAATAAAACTATATTAAAAATAATGTGTAGGAGTAACTTGTAATATAATTGATTACTTTTAAACTTTAGTTGTTAGTTATTTTTAAAAAAATGTAACTACAAACTGTAACTAGTTATTTTTAAAAACACTAGTAAGTATTTAGTCTAAACTATTAATTAAATTAGATTTTTATTTATTTATTAATAATTATTAAAAAATTTACAAGTAAATACATCGTAATAAAATTATAAATTCACATAACTTAAAATAATATTTATAGTATTTATGTACACTTATTATATTTTATGTATTTTATATATAATACCAAACATGATGAAGTATTTTTTTGGCCAGTCAAATTATGGTCATTATCTATTGAAGCTGTATTTTTTATATGACTATCTTCAGACCGATCTTCATTTGACACTTATTGACTATTCAAAGGGAGTTAAATTAAAACATATATTATATAGGAAGGAATTGTTTATTTCATACATTTTTTAAAATTTTTAATTAAAATTTATACCAAATTGTTTATCATGAAAAATAAAATTAAAGAATAACTATATCGATGAAACGACTACAATATTTCAAAAATTAGACGACAATCGAAGGGTAAAAATAAGTTTTAAAAAATATGTATCTATAAAATAATGTGTTTTAAATTTACGAGTTTTTTTAAAAAAAATAATTAGATCACCTCGATCATTAAATTTTTTTTCCCTGATATGTTTATATTGATCTGTCTTATCTGATATATCAAGACGATGTATGAATATTTTTTAAATTACTTGCTATAAAATGGGAGGGTATAAATTACTGGATAGATAATATCAGATGAGTTTTGATATCAGCAATATCTTTTAGGATCGAATTGTCTTTAAAAATATGTATAGGTGTATTGCTGATTATAACTATTGAAAATCGCTACTAATTTTAAAAAATTTCGCCTATTATTTACATATTATTTTTCTTTTATAAAATTATCAAAATTAGAAAAGAGAAGTCCCCGATCACATGTGCGGGAAAATAAGTTTTGAAATTATGAATGACCCTGTTATAACCCCTAGTGGAATAACTTACGAGCGAAAGAATATAGAGGAACATTTGCAGGTTAACTTAATTTATACTCTCTAACTTTACAACCCCCTTTAAACAGTCTAAAAAGTTTTGGTGTTATTAATATTTGAATGACTGCAGTAAAAGAGTTTATAAGGGGGGGGGGTGTAAAAAGAAAAGAAAAGTCGGCTATTTTAACCTATTGATTAATAGTAAATTGTTAGTTTATGGAACCATTTCTTGAAAATTTATAAACTCCAAAGTTTTTATATAATTTTATTAACAAATTTGTATTTTAATTTACCGATGTATCATTTGAATGACAGTCAAATTTCGATTTTTTAATCATTTTACTTATAGATGCATATGATCGGTCTGAATCTTTCTTATTTGTATCCACCAATACTATTAAAATTACCGTCTCTTAGATGGTTCTTTTTTTTATAAATATATATTAACGTATGTAAATTTATTTTAAATTGGTTCTAGTACATCGCTGAATTCGTCATTTTATGAAAAAATAAGATGATTAAATTTTTTTTCTCTTTTCTCTCCCAATACATATGTTACGAAAGTTAGAAGATTAAATATATGACGTATTTATTTTCTAATTATTGTTATACTATATTTTAAAAAAAACCTTCCGTCACATAAAAAGAGCTTTAAGAAAATCGATATGGTAGAGAGTGATTTGAGGAATTTTAGTTTATTTAAACTAAAATATTGAATATATACTTATTATTGACAAAATTATCGATTAGAGGTCTACAACGGGCAGGAAAATCAGCTCAACCGCTCTACGGGCGAGCGAGTTAAAAATTTAAACACTGAACTGGTGGATAAGCAAGTTATAAATATTTTTAAAATAAGGGTGGGTGAATTTAAAATATTTTTCGGGTAAAATGAGTACGGACTTATATTTATTTTTTAACAAAAATTTTTTATTGCTTATTTTATGCTTAATGAAAGATATATTAAAATAAAGTAAATAATGAACCAAACTAACCAAGCAAATAATTTTTAAACATGTGAGTGTACGGGTATTTTTTTAAAAAATAAGGGGAGAGTGGCAGCTTGGTTTAAAACCCCTCATTGCAGACCTCGTTTCTCTATACATTCAAATTAAATAATTGAGCTTAAATCTAATTTAGTCATATATCTAATGTTTTTCCTACACTTGTGATAATTTTTCTTATTTTTTTTTTGAATATCTAAATAATAATATTTCATTCGATATTAACTATAGCGTGTAGGACACTTTGACCCTATAACACGTATACCACTTACCTCCGATCAACTCATACCAAATTTAGCGCTTAAGGAAGTTATCGATTCTTATATAATCGAAAATCCGTGGGTCATTGATTACTAAACTGACAAAATTTATATATATTATACTATTTTATTCATATTTAATTTATATTAATACATGTATGCCAAGAAATAATTTAGGGAACACTATAGTATTATAAAATGTTATCTTCACACATAATTATGTTTTTTATGACAGCCTTTTTTTTTATATAGCGATAGCTCTGATTGACACATCAATTATAAACCAATTTATTAAAATTATATCATTTTTTTTATACAAACTTATTGTGATATAATGATATTTAATAAATCCCCTGTTGGAACCTAAATTTTATAATGTTTTATCCTATTGTAAAATAAATAATAAATCGAATATTGAACTTATTATTTAATATTAATTTGAGCTTTTTGAAACTAATTTTATATATACAATCGAATATTACCAAATAAGACATTTAATGACACTGGGTTATTAATATAAAAGTTGAGTGCTAACCCAATTCACAATTATAGAAGAAAAGAAATCCTCATAACAGTAAAATATATGTGCAATATAGTAATAGCCATTTCGATACAATTTTGTAAACCTATTTATTTATATTATATTATAATACTGAGGTAAAGTTTTACCACAAATTTACTTGTTGAAATTAAGCATATAGAAAAAATTTGAAGGCTTCACAAACCTCAACCCGCACACCCCCTATGAAAAAATATGTTAAGGTATTTTTATCAGAGCCTAGTTTGGATAATTTTTGGAAATAAAAATGCCGCTGATGATCTGAATCAGTAAAGAATTGGGAATGTTTATGAAGTTTCTAATCTTATAAATAGACCTAATATCAAGTTAAGTATTTAAGGATATTTTGCCTTTATGTTAGATTATTGAGGTTCCTTTAAGAATATTTGGATACTGGTTGGATCACCTATTGGTGACTCTTTGTTCTCATTTAAATTAGCAATTGCACGAAATATTAGCCGACAGATATAGAGTTTTTAAATTTTTTATTTTAACATAAATCCATTTCATCAATTTTCTTTATACTGTACCAGACTGATTAAATTAATATACAATAACCACTAAACATTAATAAAACTTGCAAAATAAATACTTCCATTTGCTTTTTAATCTTCGTTTGTCCAAAATCTTATTACTAATAATTTTTCCCTTTATACTGGCTAAAATCAGATACTAATAAAGCACAAAACATTGCCATATTTTAGAATTAGTACTTCAAATTGTTTAGACAAAGATAACCATGGGAAAATATATAATAATTTTTATAGGAGGGGCCCTGCCGAAGGCCGAGCTAAACAGGGTTTGGGAGTAACTTTGAAAATTATAGATTATTGGAAAACGTTTATAAATGTCAGATATTGGCATATATAACAAGATATATTTTTAAAATATATTGAAGAATTAGTTTTGGCGCATATATTGAAAAATTATTATATTTGCGATTCATATTGAAGATATATTTAAAAGCTAAAATTGTATATATTGATTTGTAGTATAAATATTTGGGTTGAAAGTCAAGGGTTTAATAAATGGTTACATAATATTCCTTTTGATAACTAAATTAAATTTCGGTGGGACTAAAAAATTTTATTTTACGGTAGATGGTAGAGATTCTCAGCGAAAATTGTACCATCGATTGTTATGTCCTATGGTTTGTTCTATAACATCGCAACCACCATTAATGTTCAAAATAAAGAAGTCAATTTAAGATTTTGTATTTTCTCTCGCGAAGATATAGGTTTTTATGACTAAAAAAAGTTCTGTCATATTTTCTGTTCGGTTGTGAGAATGTAGCGTTGCCAATGATGCTTTTTCTAGTGTATACTTCTTATTTTCCAATTTTGGTGTTTAAATCGTTTAAGATTAATATATTAAATCCAATGGGTAGGGAGTTTATAACATTCACTAGTGTACGATGAAAGGTAATCTATCACTCCCTTTGGGGGTGGGACATATATATTTACTACTATGGCTGGCCTGAAATTGGTATATATGTAAAGCAATCCACAAATTTCGAAGATGGGTACGAATTTATCTGAATTTCTGTATCCTTTTAATTATATAAAAAGTGATACCGGTCTAGTTGTTGAAAGTGGTTCCCAAACTGACTATAATGAAGTCATTTAAAGTGGCTGTGTTGTTCCTTTGGCAATGTATCTCCTTAACCATAATATGAGTTTTTCGTCCACTAGCAGCCTTAGCTCTAATTTTTTTTATAACGCCGTTAATTTTTAGTAATGAGATTTGTAATTTTTCCTTAACATCGTTCTTCATCCTAAAACTTCCTTCTTTCAAGTGATATCTTAAACAGGTAAGAATTCTGAAAAATAGAATATAATTTTAGATAGATTAAATTTAAAAAGTAAAAATATATAAAAAGTCTTTAGTTTAAAAATTATAAAAAATTGCGCCCATAAATTAAATTTTTGAATTTACATAGCAACTTATAATATTTTTTTTAAAATATATTGTAGGCAGGGTTTCGAACCGTTAAGCATAACGGTTCGGTTCGTTCCGGTTTTTAGTTTATAATTTTATAAAGGTTTTGTTCCATTTCGGTTTTTTAAAAAAAAATTCATATCGGTTCGGTTTATAATTTATAACGGTTTTTTCGGTTTGTTCCGGTTTTTATAAATTTGATTTAAGAAAAAATTAATCATTAACTATGTATATATTAATTTTAGAGAAAAATCTTTTAATTTATAATTTCTTATTTAATTTAACCATGATAATCTAATAGATATTTTTATTAAACTTAGTAAATATAAATTAGACAAATTAATTTTTTTATTTTATAAATAAATATGATAAAAACAAACATGCGTAAATACAATGATGAATAAAATAATGCATAAATATAATAAAATGTATACTAACGGATAACTAAAATATTTTCTAATATTTTAGGATTTAATTTAGTTCTCCTGCGCAGAGATTATAAACTTAAGGCTAGAAAATACTCTTTCTACGGATACATGCGTAGCTGGAACTGCTAGCACAGTTATAGCTAACTTATAAAGTTCTGCATACTATTATTTACATTTTCCCAATAATTCAAAAGATCAGTATCTTTTTCTAATCTCTCTATATTATCAAATGACCGAATTATATATTCTTTCTATACATTTATTATAATTTTCTATGCCCTGAGAATTATTCTTATTAAGACTTTCATGCGAAATCTTCAAAATCATCATCTAAATTATCTTTCGAATGCGAACACGTAGGCATAGTATTTAGAATTTCAATATTCTGATTATTAAGACTTTGTATCAAGTTCCAAGTTTTACAGATGTTTTCTGGCGATCTCTCTTTCTTCAAATGTTAAAAATATTATTTTAATAATAAATAATTTATAATGACTTAAATGAATATTAGAATTCTGAATTTAAAAAAACAATATGATTATAAATAAAAAATTATTATATCATTAAAATATTGCTGACCATTTTATTTATTGTCATTTAAATTCTATTATCTAAGTTTTTCTAATGAGATAAAAAATAAACCATATAATATAAAATGAATGTAAATAATACTTTATTTCTATTAGATGTTAGTTATTAATAGTAGAATTATTTAATTTTTTCCTAAATTATTAGCAAGTATTATTATAAAAGCTTATTAATAACTTATATATATAAATAATTATGCGTGATTTTAAGATATCTTATCTAATTAACAGATAATTTGCCTAATCTCTAATAAATTAAGTATAGAAAAAAAAAACTTGGTATTAATTGATATATAATGTTGATAATATAAAAATATTTAATTTGAAAAGAAATCACCAATTTAAAAAATGCCCCCAAGGAAAATTAAAATTTCAAATTTAGGTTAATAATTTAAAATTAATTATTTTTTAAAACCGTTTTGAACCGGTTAAATATTTATAACGGTTCGGTTCGCTCTTTTTATATTTTCTTTATAACGGTTCGGTTAAGGTTACGGTTCAGAAAATCATAACGGTTCATTCCGGTTTGGCGGTTCGGTTCGGTTTGAAACCCTGATTGTAGGTGATTAATTATATTTGGTGACGTAAAATAAAATACTTTCGATACATGATTTATATTAATTTGATTTTCTCTTATGAATTATTTTAGGAATATGATGCTATTATAAGAATTTGAATGACACTCGGCTCAAATGGCATAATGCATCATAATATATTTTTTTTCAAATAAGGTTTTATTTATTTTAAAAATATATAAAAAATAACATTTATAAAACTATATTAAAATAAAATATAAAAAATATTTGAACTATTTAAAACCTGATAACAATATTAAATTTAAAAAACATATTTTAAAAATAACATAAAAACTTAATTTTTAAAATGTTGAATATAGATCCTTTTCCTTATTTTATAAAGTTAATATTCAAATTTGACTTATTATCGCAAAATATTTTTATATTCTTATTTTTGTAAAACTTATTTATATTTTATTTTAATTTGTTATATGGAATTTTATATAAATACCGACGATATTTTGTAGTAAAATAGATATATTTTAGAAAATAAAATAATAAAAATTCATTTTACCTTTTCCACCACCACATGGTGCCCCGGTCCCGAAAAAAAAAGACTCCTGATACATTTTTTTTGACTATTCTATTTTTATTGATTCTTCCATTTTGTTTAACTGGGGAAAATTAACATGTTAAAATATTAAAAAAACTTATATTCGCCCAACTAATAAAGGTAATGGAAATTCTTTTTTTATATTACTTATTTCGATGTATATTTTCAAATTTTGAACATACCATCTACTATCTATATTTGCGACTTATTGTATCTGGTAACTGGGACCCTTGACGTAGAATATTTTCGTATATCAAACAGAGGTGATGTATTTTTTCAATTTCAAACTTTAAGAGATATATTGAAGTATTATGAATTACTCAACGGAAAATTTTACATTTATGATGAAACGGAATTTTTAGAATTGTTTTGCGTTTTTGTCAAAATATAAATTAAAACTACTTATTTTAAAATGGTATGAAAATATTTGTCATTAAAATCAAATGAATTGAAATAAATATTTTACAAAATTATTTGTTATAAATTAATTAAGACGGCAAATTAAAAGCTGTTATAGTTTATGATCTTCCATATAAGTTTCCCAAATTACAAGGGAATATTACTAATATATATATTGACCGAGTACTTAATTACTTTTCTAATAGCACATCATCTGACTCTGTTAAAGTTAACTTAATTATCAATAATTTAACAGATTATGTGTACATAAATATATCCATATGCACAGATATTGATTTTTTGGATTTTAATTGCAATTAAAAAGTTAA